TGCTCGGGGAGGGCGGATTATCCCTGTCCTCACACTGCTGAGGCTGCTGTTCCCAAGATGAAGGTGGTGTGAAGGGGCGAGACAGCCTGGCAAACATACTGCCACATTGATGACCTTATAGAGACAAAGCCTGTTTGCTCTGTAAGGTGTTGTCTCAGGTGACTGATTTGCTGAGCTAGGAGAAGGTTGTGTTTATTTACAGTTTTTGCATCATGCCGCACTCTCTGTTGGATCTCACTCTGAAGTAGCACAGGGTACACGGCAGACACGTACCCACCTCCTCGGGAACACCGGCAAGGGGTGTTTCCCGCAAAGGGAAGGAGGAAATAGGATGGAAAACTCTTGAGTAACTTTCAGCAAAGTTCCTCCTGCAATGACCTTAGCAGCGGAGACGGACAGTGGCCTGGGTTTTTGTAAACATGAAAAGTAGCTTAAATGTTTCGCTAAGGCTTTAGGGGCTTTGTAGCATCTACTGGAAGCTGTTTACTTGTCATTGGGGCTTTTTCCAGTTCCTGATTGAGTTAGCTACATTAGAAAAATCCCTTGTTTAACTGCTGATCTAAAGAACGTTTTTCATCCTGTCACTCTTCTGTTTCTCCCTTGGCAAGGTGTTGCAGGATGTTGTGCCAAAACAACCACTGCACCACTGGATCGAGTAAAGATTTTGCTGCAAGCTCATAACCACCATTACAAACATCTAGGTAAGATGGCTGCTAATTTAGGTTTGAAATGCAGTGTGTGTGGTTTGGGTGTGTTAATTTACTCAGTGATGAGGCTGATTAAAAAGGTGCTCATCAGACAGGAGGTTGTATCTGCCTGGTCAGGCTGTGTGCCGTGTTTTGTTACCGTTTGAGAAGACAAACAAAGCCATGTGTAAGCTGTGGTATCAGTGGATGTGTTAGAGATTGAGATGTCAGAACAATCCTCAATAAGGCATGTAAGGCATGCTCGATCTTCTGTTGACAGCAGGCAGCAGGAGATTGGCAGTCACAGCTCCAAGGCTCAGATGGTTTCGGTGGGAGCTGTCCCGCGGGGGTTCCCAGGGCCGTGGGGATCCCTGCAGCTCAGACAGGCCTGGCTGCTGGGGATCGCACCGAGCAGAGCGTTTGTGCCTGCTGGGAGGTGCAGGTGATCCCTGCTCGGCATCTGTGTTGCATCATGGTGAGAGCCAACTCACGTGTCCACAGCTGTCTCTGCGGGCTCTAACAGTGCCCTCTTGTGCAGGGTGTTTGAGCCAGTTATGTCACATGTTACTGAAATGTGGCATAACTTTTGCTCCAAAGTTAAAGTTGCAATTTTCAGAGGGAAAAATATTTTGACTTGGCTAATTTTGCATGTAACTGAACTTGTTATTAACTTAGCCACTAAAGATGTTTTTAAAAGTTGGAAAAATAAATCATTGCTAAATCATAAAATTCAGTGGATGTATATATTCACTGTGGGAAAAAGGGAAACACAAACAATGTGTTTTAGTAACACAGACACAAGTATACACTCAAGTCAATGAATTGAAGGGTGAAATTATTGGTTTGACTGGGATTTTAAATCTTCAATTTGCTTTTTATTGTGCCATGGTTGGCAAGTAAAATCTGATGTTCTTCCCTATTTTGGGAGTCAGGTATGATGCTGATTATCTGAACTGTGTCTGACTTGAATGTGTGCCCATGTTACAAGTAGGCAAAAAAGGAGAATTATGTGGATGAGGTACCTGTAAGTGCAGAGACACCATGGTTCTGTTCATCCGAGTCCTCCCTGTGTGTTTGAACACCTTTGCATTGTGGAGCTTGTGGGTCTCACTGTTCTAGGAAATAGAAGCAGTAACTCATCATTGCAGCATAGAGAGAAATTCTGGGCTTGGCATAAATAAGTTCAGAGGCAGGTAATAAGCATGACATCTTAAAAGTAAATTTGCTACTGAATATGTAATAATATCTTAATATACAATGCTATAGTAAGTATACAATGATATAGTAGAAAGGTGTACTAATCTATTAATATTCTTAGAATCCTAGAAACTAATAGATACTTGTTTTGTATAAACTTCAAATGAAAGTTTGTCAACCACTCTCTTCTTCCTGCCTGAAAGCAAGAATCATTTTCATTTTCGGTTTTTATTTAGTAGCTGCATAGAAATTAAAACTGTTTGATTATCACAGTTAATTCTTTTATAGAATCAAACTAAAAAGTGAATCTGATAGTAACTATGCATAGCTTATAGTTTATATATATATAAGCTATAGTTTAAGTTTATATATATAAACTATAGTTTAAGTTTATTTATGTACTTAATATATAAATTTAATATATATACTTAATATATATATTAGCTTATAGTCAGTATATATATATATACTTAATGTTTATAGTAGAACTATAGGTTTTGCCCAAACTCTGTGTGATGTTGCATTATTTCCCACTGATTAAAAGTAGGATTGCTTCTTGTTGCAACAGCTCTGAGATAGAGTGTGATGTTTAAGTTGTAAGTAATGAGTCTTCAACAGTTTTATTTGATTTCCTCAGTGCTGGCATTTAATCTGTAATTTAGCATGTAGCAATGCCATTTTGCCATGGTTTTAGCCTTGTTTATTTATTTGTTTAGAGTTGACTGAACTAGAAGTCAGGCAGTTTCCCCCTGTGTTGCTGGCCTTAGGCTGCTGTGGGTGTGCTCACTTTCTTCACAGCAGCATTTCCTTGATTTTTGCTTTTACTCTGTTTTCCTCAGTGTTAAACACCTTTTCTTGTATTGCTGCAGGAGTATTTTCTACGTTGTGTGCTGTCCCCAAAAAGGAAGGGTACCTTGGGCTGTATAAAGGAAATGGGGCGATGATGATCAGGATCTTTCCCTATGGAGCTATTCAGTTTATGGCATTTGACCAATATAAAAAGGTAGCTGAATTTATTGTTTTCCTTTTCTTTCTTTTTTCCCCTGCCTGCAATGAATACAGACTGGTTGAGTGAGTGTAACTAACACTGAAACTCCAGTGTCTTATTAACTAGCTGCATATCTTTTCTAAGGTGGCTTAATTTTATCAGAATTTACTCATTAAAAATAGCAGAGCAACAGGGAAGCTTTTGCAGTGTTGCTTAAGGAAAAAAGAAATTCACACTGATTTCTAAATGTTTGTATTGTTGAGAATAATACCCTTTCTTTAATGGAAACAAAAGGTAATTTCAAGCCTACTGCTATTTGTATTGCTATGAGGTAGCCCTTTGTGAATAATGGAGCAAAAAATGTAGAATGAAACATTATTGTATTTATTTGGGATTTCTAGTGCTTCATGGATAAAAGGACTTAAACTTGAAAGTCTGCTGGATATGACTGTTACATTTGACCTGACAAATTATTATGTTAGGCTGTAGATAAAAATGACCTTGAAGATAAAAATGCTCATTTCAGGGTTCTGAAACCCTAAAATTTATAAATTCTTTTCTGTTTTCCTGCATTTACTCTTTAATAATAAATCTTTGCAGCATCTTATGGAGGTCAGTTGTTAGCATGAATGCATTTTAAACTTTGCTGTTCATAGTAAAAAATACCATTTTGCTATTAGCAAGGAGAAGTTTCATGTTTGAAAGGTCAGATTTAGCACCCAGCCAAGGAAATGGAACAATATTTACTGAGGACAATGGGATTGAAATTGTGATTCCCTTCCCTAAGAGTAAATTTCAGAAGGCTGATACAAAGAAGTTGCTGTAATTGGTTTTGTAGGTTTTTCTTTGTGCTGTAATCATGAATGCTCTTGATCTGTACATATTTTATGTTGTGTGGAATAAAAGACTGCGTGCCATGTAATTGAAATGATTTATGAATCTGCAATTTCAAGTACCCAGTTAGCATCATAGCACTTCCTTTTATCAATTAATTGACCAGAAACCTTCACAACATTTTGCATGGAGATGTGAAAGAAAAATAATTCTTAAAGGGGGAGGATACTAATGATCTTTATAGCAGAAAGTCTTAGTTATTTGATAAAAAGCCTGGAAGGTAATTTCTAACTTCCTTCCAGGCTGTAATTAACTTACTCTGAAATGTTGTCCTTTTTCTCTTCTTTTTTATTTCTCCTTTTTTTTCTTTCCTTTTTCTTTTTTTTCCTTTTCTTTTAATCCAGTTAAAATCTTTATGGGAGTATTTCACATGATGTGCATGTAAGAAAAATTGACTCTTCTTACTTTTCAATTTTGTTCAGTGTCCTTTGCTCTCTATATTCTAAGTTTGCCTTGTTTAACACACATTAATGATAACTAAATAAACAATTAATCTAATTTCTGAAGTGAATAGTACAAATACTTTGAACGTACTGTTTTGCTTTGTTAGTAGAATATTAGTACTCTGATGTTTTGGAAACAGCAGCAGTGGAAACAGTGTTTAACATTGGAAACAGTTAAAAAATTCTAACAGTAATTAAATGTTCTGGATTGAATTTATAGCGTTGTAAACTTCTTGGGAGCTGCTGCAGTGTTTGCACTAATGTGCTAATGAGCTTTGTGCTGTGTTTTGCTGTGTTTTCTGATATCTGATTACTGACAGTGTCCCACGTTGTGCAGGTAATAAAGAAACAGCTTGGCATTTCTGGGCACGTGCATCGCTTGATGGCTGGATCCATGGCAGGTATGGCTTTGTGCTTGCATTTCAGACATGCCTTTTGCTCAAAAGTGAATATTCCTTCAGGGGATGATTTCATGGGGGTTGGGTCAAACTCCTGCAAATTTGGATTAAGCAAATATACTAGTAAATGGTTAATTTAATGTGGTTGCCTAATTGAAATCTGTTTGTCTAAGAGTATTCTTTAAAAAATGTTTGTGCAAGCTGGGAATTCTGTGCTATGTTATGAAGCACAGTTTTTTAATAGTCATTTATTAACAAGTATAAAAAGCAGTGTGATCAATATGAAGTACAAAGCTGCAGGTTCTGGTAGAATTAGCTCAGCAGCCCCTCTGCCACTGCTGCTGGGTTGAATATAAGCCCACAGAAATAGAGAGATCTGTGGCTTCTCAAATGAGAAGTTTCTTTGGATTTGCCAGAAATGTCTCTACTTTTCCATGCATGATGCTCTTTAGGTCATATTTGTGAATGTTAAAATCTCTCATTTATTAATTAGTGCAGTAGCAGCAGAAAAACCTATCAGTAAACTGCCAGTGTATAATATGATTATTTATTTGTTTCACTAGTCATTGAGTCAAAAGTAGCTAAGAAAAAAGCAGGGGAAGGTGAGTAATAGTGGGCTGAGCTTTAATTGAAGTGATTCTTCATGTGCTTTTCCTTTGTAAAACAGGCTAAGAACTGCCTAGTGACAGTCCTCATATAGTCACAGGTATTCATATTTAGCTGCTTTTGGAAAAAAAATTGGGATTTTTTATACTACTTTCAGTTAAACTAGGAAGATCTCATTAAAATATTCAGACTTTGTGTGGCATCAGAGGGAAGAGAATGAAATTAAACAGTGAGAAGAGTCCTAAAAACTAACAAAGCCTGTTTGCTAAGGTATGTTCCAGAACTTGGCTGGCTTTCTATCTGAATAGTCAAAAAAGCCCCTAGATCCATAAATGTTATTCTTTCCTTCCTTTTTTTCCTTTCCCCTGGCTTTAACTGTTCTAAGGAACATTTTACAATATACTTCTCCCCCAAAGATGATGATGATGATGATTATTATTATTATTATTATTATTGTTATTATTATTAGCTTTTCCAGGAGCTTTGTCAGAGACTGTAAACCTGACTGGGAGGCACTGTGAAAACACTGAATAATCAGCTTTATCTGTCAGTGTTGGATGGGGTGGAATTCTTCCCATAAATAAATTAATAGCACCTTACTGGTTAAATCTGGTTTGTGTGGTTAGAATAACAGAAATAAATGAATGTACAGTGCTATCTGGCAAGCCCAATCTGCTTTATGAGGTGTGTTTCAGTGCCATAGACTCAGTAATTTCATTTTTAGAACCCAGGAAGTGAGGAGCTGAGCTTGACTTGGGGCTGAGATGAACACAGAAGTCAAGTATTTATATAGTGTCACATGTATTTGTTTACCAGGTGGCATTAACTGCTTCTTGGGATATTCTTTAGATGATAAGAGGCAGAGGGTTTATCTGAAGCATATCAAGGAGATGAGGGGAGGAAGGAGGCACTAGGAAGAGCAGAGTTTGAAATCTGGTGCAGAAATTTTCTAGGTTTGCAAACAAAACAGAGAAGACTTGAAAGCAATTGGTAATACTTCTTGTTTTCCCTCCTGTGCTGGCTGCAGTAAAGGATGTTTTTCTGTTTCTTCCCACTGACACTAAAGGAGATGATGTGCTGGTGCACAGGGGCATTCACAGTTTCATGGTGCAGGATTAAGCTGAGATAAATAACCTGTATTTCTTTGAGCTTTTTGTCCCCCCTGCAGCATCCAGCCAGGCAGCTGGCAGCTTTCACTGTCTGCTTTCACCCACCAAACTCAAATCTTGCTCATGGCAGTGGTTCCAACCAGACTGGTGCTCAACAGAGCTGAGCCAGCTCCAAGTGGTGGGAAACATTGAAGTGTCTTCTGTAAGTGAGAAACAGGATCAAAAGCATATCCACAGGGAAAACAAGGCAGTGAGGATGGGGGCAGTGGAGGGAGGCAAAATAAAAGCCTATTGTCATGCTTACATTTAAGGAGACCCAGTTGAAATGACTGTGGAAACTCTAACTCTGAATTTCCTGAGTCTTATGTGATTCAAATTTCAGCTGTAACACTTCATTAACAGATAAGTAGGTAAAGCTTCTTTTAAGGAAAGGCAGAGCTAGGCAGAAGAGAAATATCAAATAACATCAAAAATGAACAAGTAACATTAAATAAAACATCACAGGATGATTTTACAAATTAATTTTAAAAAGTTTTCTAATTAAAAAAAATGCAAATCAAAACAGAAATGTGTATTTCCTCTTTTGCACTTGATTAACTTCAAAATAACAAAGCCAAAAAAGACTAGATGTTATCTAGAATAAACTCAAGTCCCATTAAACTACTACAGAAAGTATGGTTTTGGTTCTAGCTTTTTACTTTTACTAAAAGTGATTGAAAATAGTACTGACCCAGCACTGTCTAGGAGGATGTTGGCTGTCTCCATTTTAGATAGTATGTAATTAACAGTTGCCTAATTCAGTCAGCAGTTTAAAAAAATCTGGTCTAGTTCTTCACATGTGCTGTGGAAGGAAACAGAATTATTATTCATTGTATGTGGGATGTAAAGAAATATTAGAACTGATAAATGAGGCGTTCTTTACCCTGATAAATATTTTTTATCATCAGCAATTTCTGTGTTTGTTGTTTCTGAAGCTTTGTTTTGTTCAGAAGATGCTGCTTGGGTAATTTAATCTTTACATTAGCTAAGGAGCAAATCTGCAGTTCAGGGCTGTGCCTTGTGCTTATCACGTTTGAACTTTATTCCTCTGAATCTCCTGGCAGTGCTTAATTTCATTTCTGGGGCTCCTGATATGGCACAAAGATCATGATACAGAGATAATAAAAACTTGCATACCAGCTGTGTTTGCAATATAAATGTATTTCACTTGTGGGTTTTTCTTGCCCCAGAAAGGTTTTTATTTTTATTTCCAAAGGAAGTTACTAAGAGCAGAGGGATAATAGTGAAACTGTGAGACAGATGAATCCCTGTGGAGCTCATCCCATTGTGAGCTGCCAAAGCCTGGGAGGGAATCAAGGACAGTCTCATGTGCTTCAGTGCTTTAGTCTGTGTGACCCAGTGTCCTGTCCCCAGGATGGTCACAGGTGCTTGGGGACAAGGTGGGAAATGCAGAAGGGCCTTTCCCTGGCTGCTGCCTCAGCACTGGCACTGAGGAGGTCTCTGCTTTTGAGGAGGTGGCTCTGTGAAGGGAGGAGCTGCATTCCCTGTTCAGGTTATTTCAGGGCAGTGTGTGTCTCTGAACTGCTGGTGCACATTGAATCTGTCCTGTTTCACCTCCCCAGCAGAGATTTTTGGCTGAGTGAAGATAAACTTAGCTTTTCCAAGCCTGGGACTGAGCCTTAAGGTGCTGAGGTCTGGCCTCTCATAAGGCAGTACTGAAGGAGCAGAGATGAGTGATTTTGTAGGCTTCAGCACAATGGCTTTGTGTCCCACAGCTGGCTCCACTCCTCTTGGAGAGGACAGTGTCTCTCCTGAGCCCCAAAATCCATCCTGAGCCCTTGTGTGTGCATTTTCTTTGCATGAACAGTAAAGCAGTAACTGTTGAAGGAGCAGAGATGAATGATTTTGTAGGCTTCACCACAATGGCTTTGTGTCCCACAGCTGGCTCCACTCCTCTTGGAAAGGATGGTGTCTCTCCTGAGCCCCAAAATCCATCCTGATCCCTTGTGTGTGCATTTTCCTTGCATGAACAATAAAGCAGTTACATGCCTCTCCTAGCTGCTACAAGACAGCATATATTGTGGCTCATGTCCCAAATCCCCTTTTACTTCTTTCATTTGTTTTTCAAAAATTCATAGCTAGAGGACTTTAAGAAAAAAAAAAAAGTTTCTATTTAAATTCTCACTCTACATACTGTTCATCTGTGTTGGTTTTTTTAAATGGTGCTATTTTCAGAGTGTGCTCACTAAAGAGTGCATTCCCCAAGCTCCTGCTTGGTCTGTTGCTAGCCTTTGTTCAGAGGAAGTGCCTGGATGGATTTCAGTGCAGGGCTGGAAAGAGGAGAGAGGGTAAAGTCTCTTTTCTGAAATGGGATGGCTTCCCTGTTCCCTCTTAAGCTCTGTAAAAGTGCCTTATCCCTCCCTTAATTTGTTTTAACCTGTTTGAATTGATCTATTTGATGATATTTCTGGACATCTCAGGGAATCCATTGGGGAAGGGCTCTACACTGAAGGCTTGCATTTTTTCTAAGTCAGTGGAAGCAGTCTTGAAGTTGCTTTAGTGTTTTGCAGCTTCCAACTTTTGAATCCTGTGGGTGAGACAGCCTCAGAAATAAACTGCAGATGTCTGCTTTTTGTTCAGAGGATTTTCCAAAATTCTCCAAAAGAGGTGGTTTTGTCTTCTAAAATGAATTACTGATAGGATAATCCAGAATCCCACAAAGTTGGTTTCTGATTGAGATATGACCAGTGTCAGATCTTTGGATAGCTCACTTACAGTGTTTTTTTATCTCACCATCTAATCCTGATAACTTTCAGATCATTCAGCTTATCAGAGCAGTGGTTTTTTTTGTTTTTTGGGTTTTTATTTTAACTCCAGGCATAAAAGTTAAGCAGAGCTTGTCTGCAGGGGTTGTGTTGCATTTGGATGTTGTTGTTGGTTTGTGTTGTTTTTCTGTTCCCCCTGTTATGGATTTGGCCTTGTGGAAAGAAGGGGAGATGATGCACCCACAAAAAGAGGTGTCATTAAGAAACTATTAAAACTTAAAAGGAAGTGACATTTTCCTGACAAAAACAAGCGACAATTTTCTTTCTACCAAAAATGTACTTCTCCTCTGTAGGACCAATTTTAAAAAGCTCCATTTGGCTAAATCAGAGCAGTTTCTAGAAAACAGTGCCAATTACAAAGGTTTTTACTTTCTTTTCTGCCTTTCCCTAGAATTTTTTTTGTTTGATTTTGGTTCTTTGGTGGGATTTTTGGGGTTTTTTTTGTTTTGGTGACTGTGGTGTACCATCAGAAAATGACCACTGTTGTTAGTCAAGGGTTTTAACTATTCCTTCCAAGGACTCTGTCAGCCATGGAGTGGTTTGCCTCAATTCCTGCCTGGAAAGAATTAGTTACTCAGGCAAGTGTTAGGATTGTTCTTTTCTGTGCTGGAGTTGTGCTTCCAGAACTGCAAGCTGGTCAGCATTTCAGCTGTTTTGAAGCAGCTCCTAACTGGATTAGTTCAAAGATTTTACTTTTTTTTTTCCTTTTATTTTGCATCTTAAGTCCAGAAAACTCTTCTGCTCAGTTTTAAAACAGAAGTGCTGACGTAACATGAGCTATTAAAATGCAGTAATGCAACACAGTTAAGTACTTCTCATCAGTATGAGCCTGGCTCTATTTTAGCTGTAATTGGAATATATTTAGTGTGTCATTAGGATATGTTTCATATTTTCAGATACAGTAGATAGATAGATGTACCTATACTCAATAATGACACCAAATTCTGACAGAACCTGTTTGGAATACAACATGTAAATTTGGTGGTTGGAGGTGTTTTTTTAGTATGGTAGGATTAGGTTTCATGGTTGCAATCCAGCAAAGCTGATGTACTTAACCAGCCTGGTTCTTAGGAGCTGTGGATTTCAAAGCTCAGGTGAATAGAGTCAGGCCCAGAAATCTTGGGAAATCCAGGCCTAGGTGAGGTGTGCTGCTTCAGTGACCACCAAGTACAAACACATCCTTTGTGTGTTGCTGGAGTTGGTGTTCCTGTTTACTGATTGTAAGTGACTGTAAGTGTTTCTGTAACAAAATACATGCTATTGTATTCACTGCCAGAAAAGGAAATTCTACTTTTCAAAATAATCCTAGAATCAGCTAAGGTGTAGGTGAGTTTTGTTTGCTTGTTTTGTTTTTGTTTTTAATAAAGGTATTACAGCAGTGATTTGTACTTACCCTCTTGATATGGTTAGAGTTCGCCTGGCGTTCCAAGTAAAAGGGGAACACAAGTACATGGGAATTATCCATGCATTCAAGATGATTTACACAAAGGTATTTTTTCTTTTCATCTTCAGTTCTGAAAAAGCAAAGTATGTTCTTAAATAATGTTGCACTTCATTGAACATAATGGCTTAGTGTGAAATAAGTAACTTCATTGTGTGCACTTTGGATTTTTTAATGTAAAAAGTTCTTTGGATGCTGCTTTTGCCTTAGGCTGCTGAGCTGTAGCTCAGGCTCCTGTACGTGGGAGGTCAGAAACAGCAGAGAAGCTGCTTTCCAAGAAAGGTAGTGATGTTAAAAAAGATTTGGGGAGGAGGGCTGTGTATAATGCATAAATGTTCCCAGTTCTAATGCTGGGTGTAGATTTTTTGCCTTGGTTTTTGCTTATCTCCTCTGGAGCCAGGCAGTTCCTCAGGCACAGGAGGCAGAATGTGACACGAGCTCCTTGGTGGTGGCTGGTGCTGGGCAGATTGCTGTCGTGGGAGTCTGGATGAGCAGGGGGACTCAGGACACTTGTGTTCCCTGCTACAAAAGCTGCTGTGTTTTTCTTTCAAAGGAAGGTGGTTTGAGTGGCTTCTACAGAGGGCTGATGCCAACTGTGGTGGGAATGGCACCATATGCAGGTAAGTTAAAACCAGGACGTGCCAGTCCTTCAGCAGTTCTGTGCACTTCTAAATTTGTTTCATATATTTGCATACCTAATTAATTAGCTTCTGTCCAAATCATCTCAGTGATGCTCCTTAAAACGTGTCTTCAATAGTCAAAGCCTGGCTTTTCTGCAGTTTGGAGCTGAGAGTGAGCAAGGTAAAGCAGTGCTTGTGTTGCATTCCCAGTTTCCCCAAGGAGACAAGGAGGCTGTTTCTCTCCAGCAGGGAGATCCTCGGCGGCTCTGGAAATGCGGCCCCAGAGCCTCCTTGGCTCCCTCTCCTGGTGGCTTTTCTGGAAACGCTCCCGCGTGTGGAACAGAGCAGCCCGGCTCACATACCCTCCTTTGGAAAGGCTGCGACACGGCCCTCACTGAGGAAGAGCTCAGGAGCAATTCTTAGATTCGTGACAGCAATCCAGTACCTTAAAACTCACAGTCTAGCTTATTTCAAGTATTCTTGTAGCATTATGTATAAACACAAATCCATTTGGACAGAAGTTTCTGTAGAAGTTCAAAATACCATTTCTCTGTTTTTCTGCATAAGAAAAAATGTCTAAAAGAACTGTAAAATAGTTTCATTTTGTAAATGCAGCTTTCTGTTTATGATGACACATCAACAAGTCGTTTGCTTTTTAATGCAAGTACGTAACATGAAATTTCCTTTCAGGTTTTTCCTTTTTTACCTTTGGTACCTTGAAGAGCATTGGGCTTGCTCAAGCCCCTCAGCTGCTTGGCCGGCCGTCGCTGGATAACCCGGAAGTGCTGGTGCTGAGGACTCACGTGAACCTGCTGTGCGGGGGCATAGCTGGGGCCATCGCTCAGACCGTGTCGTAAGTGGGGATGGGGCTGCTTCCTCTCTGCACCTGCTCATTCGAAAGAAACTTTGCTCTGACACAATCATCAGTAAGGTTTTTAAGTTAATCAAATACTGAAATGCAGGTATTTCCTATTGTTTCACTTAATAAATACCTATTTGATCTTCGGGGTCTTTTAAGAGTTATCCGGTGAGTCAATTAAACAAATCCAGGCAAATCTCTTAAAACCCACTGGAGTCTTTTTTAGTAACAATTTTGTTTCTTGCCTTGTTTGGAAAGCTAAAAAATTTTGACCCTGAACACCATTTGCAGAACTTTATGATTCCAATTTACCTTCAAACCTATGTTACCCGTGAAACCATAGGATGAAAAAAAAGCCAAAATCAAGTCTTTGATAGTGTATTTGGCATTTTTATTACTTTGCTTGCTTTTTTCTTTCTCACCCTGTCCTTGTTCTATTTTATTTTGTCCATAAAATAAGTTAATTTCGTGGACATAGACAGCATGGATT